CTGTAGTTGCGTATCGTGAGCAATAAGTGGCAACAATGTCGGGCGACAATGAATTCAAGCGATTGACACATTGCCATGAATACGCTTGATAACTGCTTGCAGACTTCCAATGGACATTGTTTATGTTTGGACTGTTGAAACAATAGCAAAATAAAGGGTTGGGCAACTACTCTTTTGTTTAGGCTTGGGAAGAACAATGCAAGCTTTTTACAAATAATTTCAGCTGGATGTACGTTGGTGGGCGGGTGTTGAGAGTTACTGGGCGGCCGTAAAACTTGATGGGCGGGCCGCCCGCCTAAAACCCCTTGTGGAGAACACTGTGTCCTGTATGAAAATATCGTGCAAAAATTGAGAAAATCTGATAAAATATTTTGACTGTTTCTACTTGACTGATCACTGGTGATACACATCAAAGGTCACTGATCTCAGTGCAAATATGCATTGTTGTATGTGTTCAATGAAGCAAATGATTTATCTTGTAATAATATCCTTGGTAATGTATCTCAGAATCCCATACTGGGTTTCAAAACCAACTCATGGAGAGATTGCACAGTCTGATACACATTTGCAAACCTACCAATAAAATCTTTACAGAAAACAAGATGTCAGAAAATCAATATAAGCACTCCTATGAACTGGGTGCCTAACTTTGATCAAGATCTGAAGCTAATAGAAAATCTGTTTAGTTCAAAGTTATCAAATCAAAAACAATACATAAAAAATACATTAAAAGCAAAACATTTCATCCACATTTTAAAAAGAAAATTATTCTAAAATATATGTATTCTGTTTTTGACAAACAGTTCATTCGACAAATGAAAACTCACAGGAATATGTTTCAGCTATTAGAACAGAATGATAGAGTTTTTATAATACTAGTTTAAAAACGCACTTTAAAGATAGCAGTGTTTGAAGATGTAGATTCTCAGAAGGCAACAGTACTGTTGACTTCTGTTGATTTGCATACAAAGCAGAGCTTGCAACATGATAGCTATTCATAAAGGGTGTTTTTTTTACTTTTCATATAATACAGTAGTCACACAATGAGGCAGTTCATATTTGTCTCAGTGAATCATTAATTTTTGGCAGACACCTGTACAAAATACTTGGACTAAAGCCAGCTAAATTTTTCTGTTATCTTGCATGTTTTATGAATCTATTCACATCTAAATGCAGCACTTTTTTTTGCAATGAGACATTTGTTTTTATTCTAAAATATCTGAATTACTTTGAATAAAGCTGGAAATTATGTTCCTTGAAATAATTAAACAAATAAGGCACCAATGTTTTTGTAAGATATTTACATCTTTTAAGGACATTCGATAGACTGATTCCCCACTGTTGGTTCAACCCCAAAACTTGTTTGTATTCAAAATTAATTATGACAATGCATATTTATATTGAAACAAACTATGATAAAGGTAATTATATTATATAACAAAGGGCAAGGTCACCAGAGTTTAACTATGTTTGAAACATTTCTTGAAATTATGCAAGACACTATCTCCACTATACAGAAAACAAAATATTAGTAATATTCTCACTCAAATCCCATGGCCCTAATTTCTTATTGTGAATACTAGACGACTGTAAACTGTCGATGATGACTAGTGTATTCTGCCCCAGTGCAAATTGTCACCAAACATTTAAATATTTGCCAAACAAAGGGGGTTTCCGTTTACCAGACAATTGACTCTATTAATTGTCATGACAACTTTTCATGAATTGGCAAATTAAATTCTATGCGACACGTTATATGAAAACAAATATTATTGTGATACTATATATTCTTTAGTAATGTTAGTATTTGTGGTTTCTGATATTCTTCCTCTATTTTACTTCAAGTTCCATTTTCAACAAAAGAGTGAAAAATTAGTTGTATTTGGTAAATATCAAAATAAAAGCTTGTGTTTATTGATTTTTTTGAAAACCAATTAATTAGAATTTAAATTTTTTGTCTGGACCTAATCCTATGTAGATCACTTTGTCATGTATTACCTTGAGTTGACTATTTTGCTTTAGATCTGTATAAAATGTAAACCAGAGATTTATTTCCACTTGTTTTAAGTTAACCTTAGTGTTATAAATATATCTGTAGATAACAATGTTGTACAGTTAGC